TGTGAGAATGCACGTCTAGGACAGTACAGGTTGATAGATTAAATTGACTACGAGGAGCGAAAGAGGTCCCAGGACCTGAAGCTATTTGAAGTTGAGCTCGTCGCCTCGTGGCTCACGTGACTAAAACCACATTCACTATACACAAATCAAAATCGTCACAGATAATCTTTAGGCTAGCTAAAATAACTCTTAGAGTTTTATAAATATTCTAGTTTTAACTATAAATATTAACTAAATCTCTAGTACTTAAGTAGATAATAAGAGATATAAATAGGTAGATTTTCTATAACCTATAAAACCTAACTATAGCGATTTAGATCTAAGCAATTCTAACTTTAAATTATTCTAGTATAAGAGCTAGAGAGCTATATAGCCTTTAGGATTTATTCTTTAGGCTAAGCTAAAGGATATCTATTTACTTTTAGAATAAAAGTAATATATTATTATATATCTTAGGTAAATTTAAGTATTTTAGAAGCTTAGTTCTTATTACTAAGTTTTATATTAACCTTTCTAGTAAATTAAAGATTCTATACCCTATACTCTTTAAGCGGATTATCTTAATCTAAGAGCGTATAATAAGCGCTATCTTAAATATATTAAGGCTTATTATTTCTTATATAAATTCTATAGGAATATATAAAGAGCCTCTCTATATACTAAGTACTTAGATAATAGCCTTATTCTAACTAACAAGTGTGACCGTGTGGAGTGAACCACTGCTTGCTGTGATGAATACTGAGTCAAACCGGAAACTGCTATATTGAACGAACAACTAAGTGAGAGAAGAAGAGAGTTCCGAAGGAACGAGAGCCTAAATACAGGAGTCCAGTAGCACGCACGGGCCATGCTACACGTGATCCGCCCCCAGTTCCTCCAACTCCGTAACAACAAGGAGTATTAGTAAGAGAATAACCTACTATAATATATAAAATAAAAGGTTAATAGCTAGCGTAGAATCCTAAATATTAGAGAGCGTAGAATACTACCTTTATATAAGACTTATTTAGCTCTAAACGTAGTATAGATAATTAAAGAGAAGTTAGCGTAAGTAGATTTTAAGAAAGAGGAGTCTATTTTTATTAAGTCTTAAAGTAAGATAATTATAAAATACCAAGATAGAAAAGTACCTAGAGAAGGTAATTATAAGAGAGTAATTAAACAAAGAGTAAAAGGTTTAAAATTAATATAAAAGAAGTATAATATAATTAAGTGTAGTATTATAACTATTTTTAAGAAGTAAACTAAGTAGTTAAATAAGTAGTTATAGAGAGCTTATAAGGCTTTTTCTAATATTAATTAGGATTTAAAAGATCTTAAAATTTAGAATAAGAAAGTACTCTAATAATAAGTAGTATAATAAACTAAGTATACTTTTAATAAGTATATTAAGCGCTATCCTTAGATTACTAGAATACTTAGTACGGATTTAGCTAAAGGCTCTATAAAAGTAAATAAGTGTTCTAAACTTTTATAACTTTTAGAAGAAGGTTTTCTATATAATTAGTTATAAAATTTTAATTAATTAATTTTATTTCTAATTATTTATTATTTATAATACTTATAAATAACTTAGGGCTACTTATAATAAATAAATATTATAGTATAGCTATAGATAGATGTCACGAATCACGTGTTAGCAGGTGACGAGTGAAGACCAGGCGGCGCCCTGACAGGTTAAGCACTATCATGTAACTCTTATAGAAAATAGGGATGCTTAGGCTAGCTAAGCGATCCAGGGATTTCTTTCGGTTAGAATATCACGTGACGAAAACGAGCGACATGGCCGACGAGTCGACCATGGCGACCATGGCGACCACTGAGAACGAAGGTTCTATATAAGACTGGCACGTCTGCCAGTGATGGAAACGAGCGACATGGCCGACGAGTCGACCATGGCGACCATGGCGACCACTGAGAACGAAGGTTCTATATAAGACTGGCACGTCTGCCATTAGATAGGAGCTTCGTGCTCAACTTAGTTATCAAT